AAAGAATTATTAGAATCTTCATACCTATATGTTGTGAGTGAATAGTAAAAAGTTTTAAATATAAAATTAGCTTTATCCTAAAACTTACTTTAACCCTAAAATAATAAATATTTGAATTAAAAAATTAATATCAATAAAATTTATGATGATTTGGATGTTGAGATGACCTATTTTAACAATAAAATATAGATAATTATAGAGTAAATTTTTTAATAATTTATTATATATCAAACTTCAACGATATAATCAAATAGTTGAATTAAAAGTTTTTAATACACAGATTAAATAAGCATAATTTTTTAAAAAATTAAAAACTATTTGATATTTCAGTTTGTTAATTAAAAATCAATGTCTAAAATGATTTTGTAATTATCCATCAATTTTAATTAATAAAATAAAGTATCAAAAAATAAATTACGACGCAAACTTAATTATAATTTTTGATAATTTATTTAAAAAGTATTAAATTAATTTAGAAATATATTATAAATATGTATATTTTTATTATAAATTAATATCTTGTTCTTACCAAAACAGAAAGAGGGATTTATACTCATCAATAATATTACCATCACTTTTAACCAATTTATATTATTTTTTAAAATTTTTATTTAGCGACCGAATTATATTCGATTGCTAAGTTAAAACAATATTTTGCGACGCTATTAATGGGTTGCTTTATGTTTATTAGTTACTGAAATTTAATTGGTCGCTAAAAAATTCAAAAAGTTCTTGTTTAGCAACTGAATTAAATTCTGTTGTAATTTTTTTTTAATAATTTAGTCAAGAATTGGTCGTTGGTTCCGTCGCAAAGTATATTTTCATGAAACACAATTAAACAACGACGGATATAACGACCGATTTTCTCGCTACAGTTTATTTTGATCGCTAAACCGGTCACTAATTAAATCGGTCACTAATTCAATTGTAATATAGAGACTGATAAATTTCGGTCGCTAATTTCGGTCACTATTTTATATTTTTCTTGTAGTGTTGTTTCTATACGCATACATTAGGCAAGGGATTGAGGAACAATTTGACTATCCAATAGATATTCTCACACTTCCAAATGAGGTTTCTCACTCTCCCCTTACCTGAATGAGTAGAAGATGAAGTACGTGCGATTCCCCGGTGATCTCCTCCTCCTGGTTCCCTTGAGTCTTCAGAGCGCGTAGAAAATAAATGAGAGACTAGTGTCGGGAGAAATGAGAAGTGTGAAAAGTAATTCCTGACAACTCTTTTCTTAAAAAAAGAAAAATAAATAATAATAATAATAATAATTAGTAAAAGTCCACTACATCCCTACTTCCCTTCTCATAAAATAAAATATATTTCCTCTTTTTAATAAATAACATAAGCATAATTCTTGATAAAAACATATTTTTCATAAAATTAGACTTATAGAAAATAATTCAAATATTAATTAAAAAATTATTTTTATATTAAAATAGAGCTCACATAAAGTAGATAAATAATATAAAATATATTTCTCCCTTTTAGTAATAATAACATACGTTTATATAAAAATAGAACTCATATATACTAACTAAATAATATTAAAAATCATTTTAATAAACACATTAAAATATTAAAATAAATATAAATATATTATTAATAAAATACATTTCAAAAAAGTTACCTATATATCACTAATCAAAATAATCATTATAAATTATGTCTCATAAATAAAATAGACTCATATAAAATAGATAAATAATATAAAATATGTTTATCTCTTCTAGAAAAAATAACATAATTTTTATATCAAAGCTCATATCAAATAGTTAAATCATATTAAAAAATCTTTTTAATAGATATATTAAAAGATTAAAATAAATATAAACATAATGATGTTGTTTTATAAAATTGAAGGAAACTTGCTTAATGCATGTTTTGCCAGAGGAAAAAGTTTCAAACTTACCAGCTAAAACATGGATTAAATATCGATTTTCATTTTAAAATTTATGATGTTATCTCTGCCTTTATTATTATTATTTTTACTTTATAGGCTAATGCTTCATTTGAAGCCTAGCCCTATCATGTGACCAAAAAATAAATAAATTTGAATGATATTTTCTAATAAGTAAATAAGTATATCAAAACTTATCAATTAGTTAGATCCAAAAATTTTTCTCTTTAAAATTGATTTATAAGACAATTATCTCAACATTTAATCAAATTAAAATATTAATGAAAATATGTAACTCTTTTATTTTATTATTTTCAAATATATAATACTCAAATCTAATTGAGATATATGGTCATATTTTTATGTTTTGGCAAATTTTTTTTATTGTTTATAATTAATATTAATTATTATACTTAACCAATATAGTGGTTAAATATAATAATTAATACATAGTAATATTTATTTTATGTTGTCAAAAAATATTAATTATTATACTCTTTATAATTTTTTGTTGGTGAGAATTTAATTAAAATCAATCTCTTAATTAAATACATATATATATATATATATATATATATATATGTAAACA